ACATATAGTCTACAATTATGGAGACATCCAACTTTTAATACAAAGACTAAAGCTAAAACTATAATACAGATACATTCTGATGACATAGAACATGAAGCTTATTCATAATTTAAACAAGGCATGTCTGTGATAAATCATCTGTCTGCTTCCTGGTGGCTGTTAGTTTATGTCTATTCATTTTCCAGCACAAACTCAGTACTGACATCACTGCTTTATTCCAGTCATGCTCTTGCCAGCCTCCACTCTGCATGCTTTAAATCGGTTGCTCTTCTGCATTTCAGATCTGCAGCCATGCAGCCCGCCTCCTCTCCTTTCTCCTCCTCACCGTGGTCAGTCAGAGCCCTGTCCCAGCCTCCATCTTCATCTTCATTACTATCAGCATGTTGACTCTGGGGTGGTGGTTGTGCAACATCCTGTCACTGCTGGGATTCTTTCTGCTATGATGGCTCATAACTGCCAAACAGTTACATTTATTTCTGTATCTCAATAAATCATGTTGAGTTTTTCCACGTGATCTCTCCTTATTGAATTACTTTTGTAGAGAAGCTTCAAGCTAGCAAGCAACAATACCTACATCAAAAATATTATCACCAGAAGTGAGAAACTGTCTGCAGCTCCAGCTGTGCTGCATGTATTAAAGATAACGTCAGACATTGTGTGGGGGTCATGTCTGACACAGGCTGTGCAGTCACACAGATAAAAGACAGCAGTCATGTTTCTAATAATATAAATGAAAACAGAAAGATTATGAAGATAAAGCTGTGAGACTCCTCCAGAGAAAGGATGACTTGTTATCATTACATGAAGTGATTTAGAAATAATATGTAAGCTTTCAGGGCAGCGCTCACAACTTATTAAAACTGATTACCTGATGGGGAGCACACACAGATATAGAAACATACAGGTGAACTCTAAGAAGAAAACTGTGTTGATATTTTTGCAGAAAACTATTTATATTTACAATCAGTTTATATTTATATAAACAAAAGAAACATTCACAACTAGAACAAAACTGTCTTATATACAAAATCAACTGTTTTCTTCCACCATACAGCCAGCATAACACCATGCTATTAGAGGAACATCACTGGAACGTGGCCAGAACACACAAAAACAAGAACAAGACAATATATAAAAGTTCAAGTTCAGGCTCAGCTTTGCAGAGAAAACAATTGTACTCCAGTTCTGAAACCTTTCATTTGAAAACCTGTTTGCTCCTGAAGATCCTCTGGGTGTGGACCCTGCTGCTGCCACAGTGACTAGTTATGCAGAGACAGAGGACAGGGACATATGAGACAAACAGACTTAGCCATTATCACGTCTGACATGTAGTAATAACGCAGTACTTACAGCTCTGCATGTGTACTTTTACAGGTGAGATGCTCGGCATTGTGTCCTCCAGGTTTTCATCCTCATCCATCCCTGTGATGGAGGCAACAATTAGACAAATATGTACTGAATTTATATTTCATGTCAACAATGTTATTAAAATATTATTAGAACAACTTACCAAGAGGTTGTTTAGTTGGGGCGTTTGTGGAAGCAGGCGCAGACTGCTACTTCTTCCGCAGGCACTGCTGCAGCTCATGCATCCGTGTTCCTTGACTGCAGCTCTTCCTCATGATAAGGTCTGCATAGCCGTCACCTCTGCCGTCTCAAATCTCCTTCCAGGTGCTCTTGGCTCGTGAGCCAAAGCCAACCAGCTGATCATCCTCAGAGGCTTCTGCTGCAACACTCACTCTGCTGGTCTCGTAGCTCAGAAGAGTTTTTATCTCTGCAAAGCTGAGGGCTTACTGTACAAATGAATGCAAGCTCTCCTTGCCATGCCCTTCTTCCACAGAGGTCCCTGCAGCCTCTTGCTTCTGGAGATCTTTGATTTGGTACATGGTGTCCCCGACATCATTCTCCAGAAGCCACCGGAAAGATTTCCCTTTATATTTTCCAAACTGCAGGATGTACTCTCCCTGCACTTCCTTCATGTCAGAGACATCCCCTCCTCTCTGATAGACGGGAGCCTGGGATTGTTTAGCTAAACGGCCTAAACCGTTTCCCATTCATTCTCTATGGTAGTGCTAAACCACTACGGGTGTAATATACTTTTGGCCACTACGGTCTTCCGGCGCTGTTGCGAGTTTGAGATGCGGCGGCACTTTGAAAAAATCTCCTCTTTTACGTTTCGGGAGAGAAAATAAGTAACTCAACGCTCGCAACACATCCCAACGCTCCTCATTCATTGATCAAAGGTAAGAAACGTCGTTTGAAATAAGAGTAAACCAACAGAATACATTTACAGGTGTATATTACAGGTAATAGGTGTGTTGCGATTGCACTTACGAAGCATCCATCGGTCAGTGGTTACACTGAAATCATGCAGTTTGTGCTTTGACCTCCAGAGGGCGACAAATCAGC